TTAAGGATATCTAGAAGAACTCTAAGATATACCTACTTGACCAATTCATATTTCGGGTTAAAACGTACGTACGGGATCCAGACCGGATATCACCCACCCAACAAATCATTGTTCGGTTGGTACGTAATCCACATGACTCATAGGGTGGATTATCGATTCTTGTGTTCTGCATTAAACTATTTATAGTTTAAGGGCCTGGTTAGAATTACTGCCTTAGACTAGGAATAGCTAAGAGCTGAATATAAAATGATGTGGCCTTAGATTAAGAATAATTTAAGAGCATTATTGATATATTGAATATCAAATGACTTGGAATAAACTATTGAAAATATTATGAATGTTTGAACCACATATTGTGTGCATGATATCAAACCTCAGGCCAAGTATGGAATATATTTTTTTTCTCCTTAGACAACAAACACAGTTTAAAAAAAAACAGCAAGTCAGCAACCATGCGTAAAAAAAATTGCAGATTTATTTCCAAACATCCTAATCAATATTTTTTTTTTGGGACTTTTTGAGAATCAATTTCTAAGCTATTTTGGAGTCTTTTTAGTTACTTAAACACATTAAATTACTCCATATCAACCCAAACATCATCAAATATTCTAAAATATTTTTAATGGATATTGATGACATATTTGAAGAGTTTTACACTTCTCTTGATTTTTTTTGATATGATCCTGATTTTATGATGTTAGAATCCTCCAAAAATAATCTAAAATTATCATGATCAAGTTGAGGTAATCTTTATTGGTTGTTTCTACAAATTTTTACCTATAAATACCACCCAAACTCATTCATTTTTCTCCATTCTCTCTCCTTAAAATTGCAGCAACTTTTCTCTTCTTTATAATAAAAATATTAAGTTATTTTACTCCCAATACACTACCAAACCTTTCCCAAAAGACTAGAAGAAGTTAGAGCCAACAAGAGTTCGTTTAGAGCCCGTTTAAGGTAAGACAACTCTCCCAAAAATCCTGCATTTTTTTTGTGTTCTTCAAGTTATTAAGACACTTTTTACTATTTTTTTTGTTCTTCGGTAAAGCTCCATAACACCTCTAAAGTCTCNTCTTCAACAAGTCCGTTTCACTTTCTCTCTCGAACTCGAGGTATGTACAAAATCGTATTGCACGGACTTCCCGTTCAACTATTATATTTGTAAAAATCTTTTAAAACAAAACACTCTTTGTATGATTCAAGGTTATTTAAAAAAAATATACAAAGTAGTATTTTACTTTCAAATTAATATTTTATACACTTTTAAAAGTGATTTATTATAAAATATTGATTTATAAAAATGATTTGATATATAGGAAAAAATATTTAAACTTTTATATTGTCATAAGTTTAAACAACTTGAGATCATTGTAAACTTGTATTTCGGAGCAACGGTAGGAGACCCCTATCACCGCTCATCGTATACGTATACAGAACCATCGGCCAAGGTTGCGAGAATGATGCCCAAAAGGCATTATTTCTCAGGGCTACATTCGGAGACCCCGGGTGTATGTCGTTAAATTGAATATTTCGTATCTCAGTGGTTTGATAAAATCTTTTATAAAGTTTTTATCTAACTTATATCTATGTAGTTTCATATATGGAAATCCATTCTGTGAAAGTGAGATATTGATTTTCGTAAATATTATATTTTTACGAGACTCCGTCCTATACTGTTTTGTACCACTCAGCAAATATGCTGAGCGTACAGTATTTTTGGTTTTTACTGTGCGTAGGTGATGTAGCTGGAACAAGTGGAAGTGCAGGACATGGCAATTAAATCTGTTTTGATAAATACGGTTATGTGTTTATTTATTTGCTTGAATAAAAAGTTTGTATTTTATTTTATGACGTTATGTTCACAAACATATTGTGTATTAAACTCGTTTCCGCTGTTTTTAATCAACATTTATATGATGTTTTTTATAAGAAATTAGTATATTTCCTCTTAACTCTCTAATTTGGAATAGTCCACGAGACTGTTCAAGTTAGAGTGTTACATTATATGACAGAGTTTTACACTTTTTTTTATAGCATATACATATCTATATTCAGAGTATAAATACTAATGGGATTTTCTCTAATGCCTCATTATTTGAGAGGGAATGGAAACCTTTCCTCTAATTTCTTGACATGTGTATGAATAATAATATTAATTACTCCCTCCATCCTTAAATAGATTACAAATTGCGGGTTACGAAGAAAAATTTCTTACTTTTTGAAATCATTTTATTTACAAATTGATATATCAATAAGATATAAAATTACATATTAAAAAACTACGTCAAAAGTTCTACAAAACAAGAGGTGACAAAAATATTTTATTTTATCAAATACTTAATGAAATTGTGTAAAAAAACAAAAGTTATCGAGAGGAGATAATAAAATTGTAATCTATTTAAGGACAGATGGAGTATATTCTTCATTCCATTACTTTTCTAAAACAGAGTTTTACTTCTACAATTTTTTTTATTTGTCTTTCTTTCATTCATCAAGTATCAAACGGATAATGTAATTTTGAGAACTTTTTTACTATATCTTTTTGTAATTTTCTTCCTCTCTTGTTTATTTATATTGGTTTATGAAATGTTTTTTGAGCTTATTTTTCAAAAACTAACAATACAATCTTTTTACTTGACCAATTTGGGTTTAGAATATTTGACTAAAATCAATAATGATTCCATTTATTTAAAAAATAGTGTAAAATTAAATATTTAACCTATGTATGCATAATTTATATAAAAAAATTAATTAAATGATAAATGAGTGGTAAACTAATTCTGGTTAAAACTATAATTTTTAATCAAATGTGTGATAATAATGATAAATAAAAAAGATGAAAATTTGACCTCTTAGATAGTAAATAAGTAAATTAAAATAAATGATGGAATTTTTTATTATCCATATGCTAATATAAATATTTATATGTGGAGTATTTTATAATAAAATTGCATTTAATTCGATTTCTCTCTTGACTCTAGATTCAAGACTTTAATTAAAATTAAAATGTAAAAATATATAGTTCAAGTTAGAAATTCAAAAAAAAAAGTTAGGGAGTAAATGTTCAAAATTTTTACATTCTTTTAACAAAAAAAACAACATAAGGAAGCTTTAGAAAAAATAAAATGAGAACAGGATGAAGAATTTTGTAAAACATAGTTTAGATTATTAATTCTCATAAGTTTAGGCATAAAATAATCCACATGTTAAGATCTTCAAATAAAGAGGCATGAGTTAAAAAGTCAAGTAAAAAGTAAAGAGAGAAAGAGAGAGAAAGAGAAACTAAGGCTTTTAAATACAAGAATTCCGGCTTTTGATTTCAATTCATAATTAAACAGGTAATAATGCAAATGCATACGATTGTTTATTTTTGACTTTTTCTGATCAAAAGTAGTAAAATTTGACTTTAAATTAAATAAAAATTATATTACAAATTGATATAAAAATAGTTTTATTAGATTTATCATATAAAATATATCAAAATACTATTTTATCTGATTAATATGAAATATCTATTTTATTTAATCATAAGTCAAAAGTTAAAAACAATTGATTGAAAAAAGTAAAAATCGGAAAATATTCTATGAGGGAGGTAGTATTTCCTAACAAGAATCCACTCCTCCCTCCCAAAACTTTTATACTTTAATTTACTCAAAACGAAAAAAATCATCAATTTTTTTTAAATTTAGTTTATTTAAAAATTAATATAAAAATCTAAAATAAACTTACATATTTAAAAAAAATACATCAAAAGTTCTGCAAAACAAGATGTCATAGGAATATATATACATGTAATAAACTACGTAATGAGGTGTATTTTAAAATTTTGAGGTGAGAATATAAGTGTTTTTCGAGATGCACAAAAAATTAGAGTGTGATTTGTGAGAGAGAGGAAGTAATTATTAAAATAAATAGATACTTTGCATATTCTACTCCGTATGTTTTTATTTACGTTAAATGTATTCGTTCATGCAATTTAATAAAAAAAAGGCTAAATAAATAAATAAATTGGGAGTATTAGCTATAGTTATAAGTGAAATTTGAACTGATTAGAACTAAAACATAAGTCATTTCTCAATGTAGTACTTAAACTTTTTTTCTCTCTAAATAAGACTTAATAATAACTAGTGAGAAGCATAATGTTCAAGTGATGCTGAATATTTAGTTGAATAATGACTAATAGATAATGACTAATGGTATAAATTAAACAGGCCACATCACCAAACTTAAGCAACATATTCTTAAATTGTTTGTTTGTGCATGTCCCTCTCCATTTCCAGCTAGCCACTTCAAAACAAATTAAAATTAAAATGGCTGCCAATAATGACATTAATATTCCAGCATTGTCATCATCAACCTCCGACCAAACTCAGCTAGCGCATGAAGATGAAGCCATTACCCGTCGCTCTGCAAATTTTCATCCAAGCATCTGGGGAAACTTTTTCCTCTCATATGCTTCTCCACAAAAGGTTTATATATATATATATATTCATATATAATTAGTAATCACAAACAATTTAATTTCACCCAAAAAAAATACTCCCTCCGTCCCTAAATAAAGTTCCTCTTTCGTTTTTTCTTTGTCCCTAAATAAACTTCTCTTTTCCCTTAAAAAACTCCTTTTATCCCTTACTTTTTCATACCCTACCTATCACATCATACCTTTTTACTAATAATCTACCTATCACATCTTACTTTAACACATCACATCAAGAGTATTTTTGGAAAGTCAACACCAAAATATTCATCCCTTAAATCCTCAAAAAGTCAAAAATGGAACTTTATTTAGGGACGGAGGGAGTAAATCATTTGTAATTGAATCTTCATGTTATTATCAACATATATGGTAGTTCTATGTTCTTATTTCAAAATAAGACTATTTCACCGTGTAATAATATTGGAAGCAATTTAGTTCGTTAAAGTTTTGTATGAAATATAATACATATATATGTTTTCAGGGAGATGGAGGAGATACACAAGAAGTGGAAGAGCATCAACAGCTCAAGGAAGCAGTGAGAAACATGTTTTTAGAAACTCATCATCCTCAAAAGTTGGAGGTGATGATCAACAACATCCAACGGTTAGGAGTGAGTTACCGTTTCGAGAAGGAGATCGAAGCAACACTGGAACGCATGTTCGAGGCATACGATGATCTCAACGACAAAGACGTGATGGAGAATAATGATCTTTGTGCGGTTTCTCTCCGCTTTCGCCTTCTCAGACAACAAGGGTATTTTGTATCTAGCAGTAAGTGTTACTCCCACCTTCTCATAAAATTTTCTTTCTCGATAACTCTATTTCAAACTTCATTTACTCTTTTTTTCTGTTTCCATTTTTGATAAAATATTATAATCAGGTTACTCTTTGTTTTGTGGAACTTTTCGGTTTTAGTTCATTTATGCTCAAAATTTGTTAAGCTAAGGAACCCGATAAAGTAAAATTTGAATCTATATATCTCAGGTCATGTTCTCCTCAACTTATTTTTTTTACTTATTACTTATTCTTATTGAAATCAGATCAGATAATCAGAAATAACTTTAAATAGAACTATATTCAAACCAGATCAAATCAGAACTTATTTCAATCAAATCAGAACTAATCAAATTAGGTGAATATAGCAGAAAAAAGCAACATAAAGCTAATAAAAGGGGACAAGACGATATATAAAAGGGGCTAAGTTGAATTTATTTACCGTAATTTATGCAGATGGAAATGTAATCGCTTACATCACATGAAAATATGATCGAAATGAGTCAAAATTTTGAATTTGGCATCATCTTAGTTTAAACGGCGTACTAGGTACGAAAATGAATAACACAATATTGAATTTTTGGTTAAATTGTGACATCTTTTCGCTAGACATTATAAAAATATTCAGTATTAAATTGTAGTGTATATTTAATATAATTGAATTGTTTTTAAAATATAAATTTAATATGTCAAATTTTTATGCTCCCCCGTCTTGGAATTTTTATCTCAGTTACCATTCACACGGTCAAACTTTAAACATATTATTTACCTTTTTTGTTAGTTATTTGACAAAATTATATAGTCATGTCACATTATGTGTGTAGAAATTTTTTATGTAATTTTGAAATATATAATTTTAATTTTTTAATTTTACATCTATAATCAAATAAATGAATTGAAAATGAATTTAGTCAAATCTACTCCCTCCGTTTCTTAAAATCCTTCCTCTTTAATTTTTTTTGTTTTTCTTAAAACATTTCCCCTTTCTATTAAAAAACCACTTTTACCCCTACTTTTTCATACCCTACCTATCACATCATACTTTTTCACTAACAACTAAACTATCACATCTTACTTTTACTTATCACATCAAGGGCAAAATTGGAAAGTCAACTATAATTTAACACTTCCTTATTTTCTTCCAAAGTCAAAAGAAGAACTCTTTTAAGAAACGGAGGTAGCAGCTCGTAATCACTACTCATTCTCCTATATACTATAGATTTATAAGAAATACTACAAACCAATACCGTTACAGATTTCGGCGTAGATTTGGTCATCATTGTTTCGTCCTAGGTAAGTGACAAACGTGTTTTCCGTCGCAAATTTCGGCCCGGAAACGACTTATTTGCGATCTGACACATTCTTGTAGTGTACAAAAAAGATGGGGAGTAATTGACTAATCGCATGCTTTTTTCTCCAAGAAAATATTACCCCCTCCTCCTTTCTCTTATGTATTCTCCTCATCTTTCTAACCATTCTTCTCCTTTTTTCCAGTGGCGAATCCAAAAATTAACATGACTCGGGGCACCATTATAGTAATGGATAGGGGGATTTCGGGGCAGCATCCCGTTTTTTTAAATCTCAATTAAAAATAATGATAAATAAAGGGATTTTATATCAAACAAATATTCAAGTAAATAAAAGACTTAATTTAGAAGTAGAAAATATTCATAACTTAATATAAATATGATAATTCATATATTTTACTTTTCTATTCTATTTAAAAAAGTCTTTTAGACTACATATTTTCTTTTGACTGGGGGGCACATTATATTTTTCACTAGGGTACCCACTTAATTTATTAGAAATTTTTATTGTTTTACACTATATATTTTTTAAAAAATTAACTAGTGAGCGAGTGTCCCCTGGTGCACTCGACATGACATTCTCCAGTGTTTTCCCCCCTCCACGTCATCATATTCCTCCTTTATTCATCCTAAGTAACTACTTCCTCCGTCCTATAATGATCTTCTCGGTTAGCAAAACGAAGAAAAATCCCAAGTTTTTTCAATCTATTTTATTTAAATATTGGTATAGAAATAAAAAATAAAACATACATATTTAAAAACTACACCAAAAGTTCAACAAAACAAGTGGTGACAAGAATATTTTATTTTATCATATAGGCCATGAAAAAATACAAATAAATATAAATTCCCGTGAAGTTGGAATAGTGCTCTGGGAAGATCATTATAGGACGGAGGGAGTATTATTGTTTAATTTTGTGAAATTATTCTTCATTGCTTTTGAAAGCAAAAATTTCATACTCCCTCCGTCCCATGAAACATGGGATGTTTTGCTTTTTGAAGAGATTTAAGGGAGTGTATTTTGGTATTAAATTTTCAAAAATGTCCTTTGACGTGATGGGTAAAAGTAAGATTTGATGGGTAGATTATTAGTAAAAAGGTATGATGTGATAGATAATGTTTGAAAAAAGTAAGGGATAAAAGTGACTTTTTAATACAAATGAGAAGTGTTTTATGGGACGGATGAAAAAAGAAAGGAGAAAGGTTTTATGAGACGGAGGGAGTATTTGTTTTTGAAAAAAAAGTGAGTATAGATTCGTATTGTTTGGAAAAGATGTCCACTTTGATTTTGCATTGTTATTGCGCGTAGGTGTTTTTGAGAAATTCACGGAAAGTGATGGGAAGTTTAAGGAATCGTTAATCGGAAACGTGGAAGCAATGCTAAGTTTGTACGAGGCGTCGAATGTTAGAGTGCACGGGGAGAAGATTTTGGACGAGGCCCTGAGATTCACAACTTCTCACCTGGAATCGATGCTTCCAAGCATGGCCCCAACCCTGAGATCTCATGTTAGTAAGGCACTTAAACTCCCAATCTGGAGAAGGCTAACAAGGATTGATGCTGTGGAGTACGTACAGTTTTACCAGCTTGATGAGTCACATGACACTATCCTCTTAAAGTTTGCAAAACTGGACTTCAACATCCTCCAAAAGCAACATCAGAAGGAGCTAGGCAATCTTACCAGGTATGTGATACGGATAGTTAATTATAATATTTTAATTAGTTATATTATTATTTAGTACTTATTTATTACTCCCTCCGTTCCACAAAACCCTTCCTCTTTCGTTTTTGTTTGCTTTCCACAAAACACTTCCACTTTCTATTAAAAAACCACTTTATTTTACCCCTACTTTTTCATACCCTACCTATCACATCATACTTTTTCACTAATAACCAAACTATCACATCTTACTTTTTCCCATCACATCAGGGGCAAAATTGGAAAGTCAACCAAAATTACATTTTCCTTATTTTTCCCCAAAGTCAAAACCGGAATGGTTTTGTGGAACAGAGGGAGTATTATTTATTGATTGTTTAGGGTTTTAGAATGAGCCTGAACCCATTAGGGTTATTTGCATTCTTTATATATTGTAACCATTCGTTATTATTATTCAATCAATGAATAATAAAGAATTCTCTTATTCTCTTGTTTAAATGTTCCAAACGTGGAATTATGCAATTAATTGTGAGCTTTTAATCATAATTAATTACAAGATTTGGCTGTGATTTAATTTAAATGGTAAATATGATTTATATATATAGGTGGTGGAAGGAATTGGGAGCAATAGAAAAAATGCCATTTGCTAGAGACAGATTGGCGGAGTCGTACTTGTGGACGCTGGGAGTCTACTTTGAACCACAATATGGTGCTGCAAGAGAGTTTGTTCTTAAAACCATATGTCTCGCTTCACTCCTCGATGATATCTATGATGTTTATGGAACCCCTAACGAACTGAACCTATTCACCCACGCTTTTCAAAGGTACTACTCTATATTGTTTTATACTCCCTCCGTCCCCAAATAAATGTCCCTTTTTGACTTTTTAAGGATTTAAGGGAGTGATATTTTTGTGTTGACTTTCCAAAAATATCCTTGATGTGATGTGTAAAAGTAAGATGTGATATGTAGATTATTAGTAAAAAGATATGATCTGATAGGTAGGGTATGAAAAAGTAAGGGATAAAAGTGGTTTTTTAAGGGGAAAAGAAAAGTTTATTTGGGGACAAAGAAAAAACGAAAGGGAAAGATTATTTGGGAACGGAGGGAGTATTATAGACAATCACTTTGTATATATATTCTATCTTTCTCAAAATAATACGGAGTAATGTTTTTTTTATCTAAATGGTACTAAAACATAGTGATTTTACCAATGAAGTATCACGTGTTTTTATTTCTCAGTGTAGTACCACTGGTCATTGTTCAAGTAAATGTCATTGGACATTGTTCAAACTAAATGTCCACCATCACTGGACATTATTCAAGTACTTTTTACGGAATAAAAAATTTAAGTACTACATTGCGAAATGATATACTCCTACCAGTCCTAAAAATATGGGAATTATTGATTTTTAAGAGATTTAAGGAAAATGTATTTTGATATTGAATATCCAAAAAAGTCTTTTGATGTGATGGGTAGATTATTAGTAAAAAGGTATGATGTGATAGGTAGGGTATGAAAAAGTAAGGGGGTAAAAGTGACTTTTTAATAGAAATAAGAAGTGTTTTTTGGGACGGAAGAAAAAAAAGAAAGGAGAAAGGTTTTTAGTCGGTATTCAATGCAACACGATCCACATGCAGATTGAAGGCCGGTGGTGCAGAGGAATTGCTGCCAGAATACATGAAGGTTCTGTACAATGCAGTTCTGGATACATATGCGGAAATGGAGAAAGGCATGATGAACGTAGCCAAAGGCGGGGAGGGTGAATCGTACCGCGTCGACTACGCCAAAAGGGAGATGAAGAAACTTGTGGGAGCATACCATGAAGAAGCAGAGTGGTTCCATGCGGGTGAGAGACCAACATTCGATGAGTACATGAAGGTTGCACTTAGGACCTGCGCTTATGTGATGCTGGCAACGACTTCCTTGGTAGGCATGCCGGAGGATTTCATCACTAAAGAGGCATTTGATTGGCTGACTGGGGATCCTTTGATTGCCCGGGCTTGTACAGTCATTTGCAGATTAAGAGACGACATTGTTGGACACAAGGTAGCACAGAACTAGCTAGCTGCTAGTTAACCTTTGATATATACTCCCTCCGTCTCTAAATAAACTTCCATTTTCGTTTTTTCTTTGTCCCCAAATAAACTTCCCTTTTCTATTAAAAAACCTCTTTTACCCCTTACTTTTTCATACCCTACCTATCACATCATACCTTTTTACTAATAATCTACCTATCACATCTTACTTTTACACATCACATCAAGGGTATTTTTGAAAAGTCAACACAAAAATATTCCTTCCTTAAATCCTCAAAAAGTCAAAAATGGAACTTTATTTAGGGACGGAGGAAATACATGGTTACCAGATGATGATATTAATTAACATATAGTGTATGTGTTTGGATATGTAGTTTGAGCAGGAAAGAGGGCATGTGGATTCAGCAGTGGAGTGCTACATGAAGCAATATGGGAAGACAGAAGAAGAGACAGTGAAAGAGCTAAAAGAAAAGGTGAATGATGCATGGAAAGACATTAGCAAGGAATGTCTTAAGCCATTTTCTCTATTCCCAATGCCCATACTCATCCGAGTTGTGAATCTTGCAAGAGTCATTGAAATGCTTTACGATGAAGATGGAGATAAATATACCCATTCCTCAGAGCTTAAAGCCATTATCACCTCTGTCTTGGTTCATCCCATTCTCTGATGATTCATTTTTTTTCCCAAAATTATAGTAATAATCCAAGTTATCATCCTTCCACATGTACTCACCGCGAGGACGAGGATTGTTCCTTTACTTCATCTTTTCCTTTTTATTTCTCCTTGAGAGCAAATTGAAGAATGAATGCCTTAATTTTGATGCTTTCAAATTTGATTTTAATTTTGATCTCGAAGTAACCTTAACACTCTATTTGGTTCCTTAAATTAATAGCTAGGGAAAGAATTTTTTTTCAATAAACAGAACCAATGAAAGTCGAAATCGTAATGATTTTTAGTTAGTACTATTGAAAATTTACTCATTCGTTTGGAAACAAACTTGGCGTTACGATTTACAATGACTGGTTGGAGCTATTTCCAAATCGATCAATTTATTTCAGTATTCGTATGAAATTTAAAAATAAAATTTATATATTTAAATTTATATCAAAAGCTTTTCAACACAAGAGATGGCTATATTATTTTACCAAATATGTAACAAAAAAATGAAAAGAGAGAAGAAAAATGGTTGACCGTGTAAATAGTAAACATAAAGATCTTTATGGTTCAAAGAGAGTAATTGTAGAAATATTATTAGAAATGAACTTGATGATTTTATTTAACACAAACATGCTATTAATAATAGCTACAAGACCATGACATTGACCTAATTACAAGCCCATTATATTGGCCCATTACTATCAAACCCTAAGATATATCCTAACACCTCCCCTCAAGTTAAGAGTGGGGATCACGAATAAACAACTTGAACAATAAAATTAGGACTAGAAAAAAATAACTCGATAAAGAACTTGGATAGAACTTTAATTTGTTATGTCAATAACGGATGAATGCAATTGGCTGAGCAACAACAAAAAATTTGATGACGAATGACTCCTACGTGGTGACACGGGGACGACTAACAAGCATCCCAAACCTGGACGAGATGTACCTTAACTGAGACGCGACTATGCCACCAACCTCACAGACAGATATGAAGGACTGAGGCGCGACTATGCGACCAACCTCACAAACAATCATGCCGAATATACAACTGGTTGCACTTGAACGTATCAAATAGCAACAAAAACAATGTGATAAAAACGTCATCAAATTTCAATAAATGGCAGAGTGAACACGAAAATCTTCTTCCGCGGAGCGCGAACAAATTGAACCAAAACCGATAACGAGACAGACCAAATACCCGACGAAGAATATGTTGAAACAAAATTGCCGCTGGCTAGTAGATGACAGAGAACGACGGCTGGATATAGATTGGAGTCCAACACTTCAACAAGTAATCACAAAACTGGACGGATTGCCAATAAACACAAGAAAAAAAATCAAGCCCAAGTTCGAACTTTTTTTTAGTAAAGTTGATGCAGCTGCCAATGAGCATACTTGCACCCAACAACAAATTATACCCAAGGAACACATGGATTGACGGAGATTAATTAGAAGCCCATTACTTTCGCCCATTACAATCAAACTCTAAGAGATATCTTAATAATAATAAGGTTCCGTTCCGTTCAACTTATTTTTTATGCTTTTTTTTTATTTTTATTAAAATCAGATTATATTAGAGTAGATCAGATCAAGTCTAATCAAGAATTATTATTATTATTATTATTAAAAAATGAAAAAAAATAAACTTTAGAAACAAGTTAAATAGAAAATTGAGAAAATAATCCTTAATTATTAGATGTCGGAAAAATTACTTTTTTATGATCAGATCAGAAAAAATAAGTTGAATGGAATGAAGCCTAAGTAAATTACTTTTTGTTTGGTTGTTGAAGAGAAAAAAGCAAACCCACCCTCGCTCTTCTAAAAGAATCAATTATATTACTCACCACTTCCCCAAAGCTAGCAAATCGGTTGGTCAAGTCGTGTTCGGGTTCGATCACTTCAAGTTCGGGTTCTTTCGGGTTCGGGTCAGTTCGAGTTTGGGTTGGGGATTGTATGTTGATGACCCATTGTCATCGGGTTCTGGTCGACCCAACGGGTTATGAGTTTGGTTTTTTAAATTTTTAAATTCACATTAATACTTACATTTTCTATTAAATAAATTTAAAATATCAAAAAAATGTATTAAATCTATAAAACTATTTTATTTTAAACTCAGAAGTAATTTTTAGATATATAAATCAATATAAGAAATTTAAAAATGCTTATGTTTTGGAAAAAAGTAAGATAATTATGCAATATCATTAAAATTTTGTCTGAAAATATAAATTTATACACTAAAACGAGTAGTAAAGTGTATAATTCTGAAAAATTCTTATTTTAGCGGGTCGGTCAGGTTGGGTTCGGTCGGGTTTGACCCATTTTTAGCGGGTCATTTCGGGTTCGGTCATCAAAATCTTTGTACAAAACCCAGTGTTTTCAGGTCGGGTTTTGGGTAAAAAACAGGTCGAGTAATTTTTTGTCATGTCTATTACTCATTCAAATCCACTCAAACCTACAAAATATTTGGGTGGTGATAGTCACACCCCACCAAAATACTGAATTCACCACACATACTAATTTCACCTCGTTAGTTTCTAAACTATTTTTAATCTTATGCTTCACACGAATTGTTATATATTCTAATTTTTACTTCGTAACATATTGATAAAATTATATCCAGAAATAAAATTTTTAATTTTTTATCTAATTTTCTAATAAATATTAGTATGCATTATCTCAATCTTTTTAATAATAAGATATGATATTTTTTAAAATAAAACTTGTAGTGTTAATAATGATTCACACTTATTAAATTTTAAATAATTTTTTTTGAAAAACAATAAAAAGGAAAATGGCGTGTAGTTTTAAATTTTATATAAATCTTTACATACTTTTTTTTTTTAAAAATTACATAATCTTATTTTTAAAATAAAATAATAATGTATATTAAAAAAATAGAATAGGGAAATACATTTTGGTATAATACTTAGAAATGGAAACTTATAAAAAATTATTGGTCATCAAATTTAAGAATAATGAAAGTTATTCTTTTAATCAATTAATAATTAAAATCACAGCTTCAAAATATGTTAAATAAAGTTAAATTTAAAAATCATATAGTATTTTTCGAAAAGAAACAAAACAAAATAAGCGGTTGATAATTCTAAAAATATATTTATAATGTTTGTTTTAATTTAAAAAGGTCTAACTAATTTTTCTAAAAAATTAATAACATAACATATGTCATGGGATGTATTTAGTTCACGTGGTGTATTTAGTATATTAGCAGGTGTGGCTACCACTACCCAAAACATTTCCACTTATATTTGTTACTAGGCCCAACAAAATTTTTCATTTGGTCTAAATGGATATAAATTTCGCTCTTACTTTTCTTAAATCTAATCTAACCAAACACATTTCCACAATTTTTCACTGCTCTAGCTCTTTCCCCACCCGAAAATCTTGTTTGAAATGATTACCTTTGCCACATTTTCAACATCTCATTTTCGCCTTCTTAGATTGTTGGAAGACTTTCTTGCATGCGCACGTAGGTTTGTGTTTCTTTTTTGGCCATGTATCCTTTGGTTTTCTTGATATGTTCTACCATGTTAACCTTAGAAGGTCGAGCACTATGGTTACCCTTGGACTTGTCACCTTCCATGACCTTAATTTTTTCGTCAATCTTAAGGTGACTCCTAAGTTACACAAATGTCATGTCCTCTTTATTGTGCTTTTTTCAAAGTGCACATTTGCATTTTTTCATGAACCAGCAATTTGTCAGTTATAGACGAGACATAGATGGATTCATCCATTTTCATATCGTGTTGGGTGAATTGCCTGAGCATCCTCAACAACTCGTGATATTGTTTCATAACTAACCTAGAGTGGATAATTGTGTAGTTGTTCAAATTACTAAGAATGAACTTCTTGCTAAAGCATCATATTCTCAGTCATGTATTTTTCTTCAATAGTCTCATAATAACTTTGCAAATTAAACATTTTGATAAACCTTAAAGAGGGAATCATTCAATACACATATCGTTGAGAATATAACCACGGTGGACACAATCATCGTTCTCCCACTTGCACCATACGTCATTTGCTTTATCGGTTTGTCCCCATCATCTTAGGCATCAACATGTTCAACACACATACAAAACCTTCAACGTAGTAAAAAGGAAGTACAACCTCTTCTCCCATTGTCGAAAGTCTCGACCTTCAAACCTTTTGAGTTTCGAAAACATGCTCGTTAGTTCGATCTCTCGGCTCATAGATTGCCACATGTCATCTCCACTCTGTTAGTGAATAACTTTAGGAATAAATATAATCTCTGTAGGAGATTTGAGATGTGTGACAATGATGCGTAGCAGCATTAGATATGATACAGAACACCAGCCATAAGATTCGATGGCCTGGGCCGAGATAGAAAAAGAGGCCCTAAAGATCTTATTTCTAATGTCTTAACAGATTTAAGTACATAAGCTAATTATATTTAAATATATAAATGACATATAATATTATAATAAAGAGTTTATAAATACTTACCTTCCTAAATAATTGTCTTAAAAATTGGACCGACGTCAACTCGGACGAGCTAGTGGGGCAATGATTAACCGATCAATCCAAGGGTCAACGACTCGGTTAACTATAATTAAAAGAATAATATTTTATATTATATTATTAGATATTATATTTTTGTTTTTCGCTCTTCCATTAATTAATTTTCAACATCATCTTGCATATCGCGTCACATTTTCAATTTGCTATTTGTATTATTTTTATTAGTATCAAAGATAAATAATAAGTATCTAATAAAACTAATATAGTAAGGCAATACTCATATTTAAAAATATAGTACAGGCTAGGTAATGTATTTTTTTATAATACTCCTAAATCCGTATATAACAATTTACACTTTCATTTAGTTGATTGTAATGAGAAATATTAGAAGAAAAAATAATTTAATATATTAAAGTATAATTACTAAATATTACTTAATTTTTATTGATGACAAAAATTTTATGTACTTTCTATTTTGAATTTTTTTTAGGTATAATTCATATTAATTTTTTTAATATAACATAAATTATTTGTTTATTTATTTTTAAACAATTTTTATAAGTTTATTAAACAAGTATATTAGATACTACTTGTGTTTTTTTCAAACTAATTACAAGTTTTATTAGATATACGTAATAATATTATGAATAATCTAAAAAATTATGTATGTGCCACTTAAAAAGATATAAGATAACTATGTGATATCATTAAAACTTTATTTAAAAATTATGTGATATCATTAAAAATCGTGTTCGGTCAAACTACTTTTGTCATTCCTTTTTAACCATTCACTTTGTTTTTCGAATCTAATGTTTGGCTAATAATATTTCTTAAAATATGTTAGAAAAAATATTAAAAACTATACATTAAAAGAATTTTTTGATGCCAAAGCTTGATAGAATTTTTATATTATAATTTATTACTTCTTCCATCCAGAAATATTCTTTACACTTTTCTTTTTGGCCCGTCTAAAAATATTCTTCACTAATCTACTTTTTTTATTGTTTTTTAATAAGAAAAAGAGATTTAAAAGTTTATAGTATATGTATTTTTGAAAATTTAGCATTCTTTACTACGTAGTACTTTTTAATAAACGTGTCAAGTCAATAGGATAAGACTATTCCCGAATTTTTATACTCCATCCGTCTCAAAAAGATTTACACGTTCCAAAAAAATTGCGTCTCACAAACCCTTACCCATTTCTATTAAAAAACCACTTTTAGCTCCTTACTTTTTTAAATCTTACCTATCACATCATACTTTTTTACTAATAATATACACATCAAATCGTATTTTTACTCATCACATCAAGGGTATTATTGGAAGGTTAACACAAAATTATCTCTCCCTTAGTTTCTACTTTAGTTAAAACGTACCCATTTTTATGGGACGAGTAGTATATAATTAGTCACACATTTGAATATAACCAATGTTGGAAAACTTATCAAATTGCCATGCACGACAAAACTGGGGCCAGACTCAATAATTACGAGGTGTAGATGAAAACAAAGTAAGCACAAAAACAAAAACAAAAATGAGTGGGTTAAAACGTCCACTGGTGTGGACCCCAAGATAATTACGATAGTATTGAGCATTGACACCACATTGATCCCGCCGGCGACGCTGACTCGCCGGAAACTCGTCGATGACTCATTTAACGGCTAAACGGGCCCCACCGTCTCCGTCTGGTCCCATTAAATGCAGATGGACCCGTCCCCATCAATATGTCCCCTGACACTGACACCTCACGAACGACAAAAAACCTTTGAAAATAAAAAATTACGGAGTAAGAGAAGGACTCGGATAGGTTTTGTTTGGATGAAGTGATAAAAAAGATTTATATTTTCATATTCTCTTCATATCTAAATATTTGTCACATTTCTGTTACCGAGATAAAATATTAAGTTTTTTCAATTCATTTTATTTACATATTGGTATAGAAATAAAAAATAAAATTTACATATTACAAAACTACATGAAATATTCTTCAAAATAAGAGGTGTCAAGAATATTTTATTTTATCAAATAACCAATGAAAACGTAGAAATAAAAAAAAGTTCTCGTAACTACTGAAAAAGAAAGTGTAGCAAATATTTTGGGACGAATGAAATACATAATTGTTGTTTGTGTGTGAAATAATTCTTGTTTCAATCACTACATTTCCTTTGTGATTGAGTTGTTTTTCACATCTTAGTTGGAGAGTAATTTTTTGACTTGAATGGTAAGAAGGAGCTCTCCAAGATTCATGAAAATAAACTCTCCACCACACATTTCTTGATTTGGATACGAAGAAAGAAAAGTATACACCAAGAGTGTCAATTCTCTCTGCTTCAGTTCACGCGTTACAATCGATAAAACTTGTGTTATTTTTAAAATTTTTGGATGCAATGTAAATGCAATGTAATTTTGAGAAATGAGTATGAGATTAAACTACCAAGCATATTTTTATAAGAAATTATTGTTAAGTTTATCCATTCCCAGTCGTCTTTCCCTATCTTTTCTACAATAGTAAGTGAAACAAATAATTTTTTTATAAATAAAAATAACTTAATTTTTTGTAGCAAGCCAGGTAACATGTCACCATTTTGGTGCAGTTTCTATAAGAAAAGTAAAAGGTAGAAGGCCATTGTGATTTAGGTCATTGTACACTATTGTTGTTAAAAGAAAGCTAGATCTTAAAATAAGTAATATCACTAGTGATCTTATATATTATGTTTTTAATCTTTTTATGGAATTTGATGTAACATGGGACTAAATAAAGTAATTATTAATTAAAGATAATGGAGATATATCATAATTCATACTGTATTTTATTAATGTGAGGGCCACATGATTATTATCCAAAAGTGTGCTCATTATTTTTATCTTATTTATTACTCCCTCTCTTCCCTCTATTAAAAAAATTCACATTTTTTTGTTTGCCTCAAAAACGGTTACATTTTTACCTTTTGAAACAAATTTATGATGTTTATAATTTATGAAATAAATATGGTAATCAAAAGAAAATAGATATAAAATGTTAAACCCACCACTCTTTATATTTTCTGAAAGAACAGGTAAATATGATATTATTCTTGATAATTTCCTAAAAATAAGAAGAAGTTGTACATTAATATTTTGTATAGTGCGTGAAATATTAAACTCACCACTTCTTATATTTCTATTTTATTTCTTACCATTTTTCAGGTTAATTTCTTCTAATTACCTTATTTATTTCATTAATTTTTGATTAATTTTAGTTATTTTTCTCATTTTCTTTATTTTTTATATCTTCTTTATTCAAAGTTAAAATAATCTTTAAAAAAAGAAAAAGAAATAATCGAGTAAGATAAGAATACGTAATTCAAATACTTTACTTTATTTTAAATATATTAAAATAATTTATTCTTCACAATTAAATATTTTTTTAAATTCGTAAAGTTTAAATAAACCTATGATGTTATGAGATTCTATTGTATTGTTGTTGTAAAATTAAAGTAAACAAATTAATTTGGATAAATGTACTTATATTTTAAATATTGTACCTCAAAATGTAAACCATAAGTTTAGACTTACATTTTGTCTCTATATAATTTGAGATTTAGGACTTATGTTGATAAAAAATATTGGTGCAAAAGTTTAAAATCACACTTCTATTTTATGTTAATACAAATTATCAAAATATAAATGTAAATGTTTGGGATACATGGTTGAATTAATTTAGGAGAGATGACTAAAGAAAGTCCAATAATTGAGTTTGGTGTTTTTATGCAATCATTGCTCACTTTAGCAATTACAAAAAGCAAAGCGAAACCACGGGCTTAAACCACCCAAAAGGTGCAGAGCATCTTCTTCATCATATTCATCCCAGAGCTTTTCAAGACTCCATTTTTATTTTCATTTCTAGAGCTTACCCGTATAATAATACCCCGCATCTCTTTTCTTTTACCAGTAGTAAACAATAATCGGTTATTGGTGTAAAAGTCTCGGCCATGTCAGGGAAAAGCTCGCGTCCGGTGATCGGGAAATTGGCCGGAATACCGCTTTCCGGCAAACGAGAGCCTGTTGTGGATGGATCGATCAGCCCCAGAAGTCCTCTGGACTTGAAATCGCCCAGGGGTCCGAAAAGTTACGATCTTGGCGCTGTTGGGCTCGCCATAGTCGCTGCCCTGGAGAATTCTCGTCACAAAGAAGGTGAATTCCTGGCTTACCGGCCCGTTTGTTACCGGAAGAATTCGAACCCAATTCCGGTCTGTTCCGGCCGGAGCTCGGGCAGACCTGCCGGAGAATTCGACCAAACGGACATGGAAAGCTCAGAGGATGAAGAAGACGAAGAGTACACCCTGGTCACCTGCCATGGGCCCGACAACAAATCCTACACGAGAGTGTACTTCGACAGGGGCGTGATCGGAAGCCAGAGATCTCGCCGGCCAACCGTGTTCGTGGTTTCTCCGGCGAAAGCCGGTGGTCTTCCGGGACGCTCAGATTCCGGCGGCTTTCTCAGTTCGTGCGACATGTGCCACAAAAGCCTGCAAGGAAAAGATATATTCATGTACAGGTAGAAAAAGTTGCCAAATCCCATTTCTTGAAATTGAATAACCAAAGAAACAAAGACTCGTTTTTTTCTTGGGTTTCCGATCCATTTCTCAAGAAACAAGAGAATTGAAGATTGTTTGGACAATGAATTGCAGGGGGGAGAAGGCATTTTGCAGCTGGGAGTGTAGAAACAGAGAGATTTTGAGTGAGGATTACAGCGAGAAGAAGAAATGGGGCTCGGAGATTCCGAGGTCTGCAGATGTTTCCGGCACCAAGTTCCATGGCCAGATGTTCTCAAAAGGCATTCTGGCGGTCTGATCTGCGGGGGGTTTATCAAATAAAAATCGAAATAAAGTTTGTAGCGATATGATATTATTAGTGTATCATATAGTGTTGATGAGTGTTTATAAGGAACTAAGGATTATTATTGTTAATGGATTAGCAGTAGATTTTTATGGGATATATATAATCAAAATAATCTTTGTAAAAAAAGGGAATTGATGTTTATGAACTGTCAATGAAGTTTTGATCTGTCTGTGCTCTGGATTGGAAAGATGAAGAGGTAGATTTTGATTGGTTTGGTAATTGAAGTGAACCGAATTCCATGTTTATTTAACATGAGAAATTGCGAAAGAGTGGTTCAATTGAAAACAAAAACAGCAATGTTCGTTCGATCTGATAGGTTCTTGGTTGGGATTTGCTGAGGTTAATTAAGATTCATTTTCGATCTCATAGGCTCCGTTATGTTTAGCATCAGCGTTAGAATTTAACATTAGCATTTTGAAAAGAGAAATTTACTTAAATAGCACTAAAACATAATGATTTTCTCCAAATAGTATTACATGTGTTTTTTTTCTCAATGTAGCATTTTTAGTCATTATGCATTAGTCATTATTTAAGCAAATATTTGCCATTACTGGACATTATTAAGTGCTCTATAGAGAATAAAACAATTTAAATGTTATTTAAGGAAATGACTTAAGTTTTAGTGTTATTTAGTGCAAATATTTCTTTTGAAAAAAGCTAACGTTAGCATTTTCAAAAGACAGGCCTTGTTTGGAAAATAGTAGTTGGCTGTTGGCTGTTTGTGTTGGCAGGTTTGAATAGCTGGTTGAGTTGGCTGTTTTGACTGGCTGATTGTATTGGCTGTTACGAAAAAAATGTTTGGCAAACTTAGCTGGTCATAATTAGCTGTTGCGAATGAAATTACCTTTAAGGACATACTACATACTCTATTTTTTAATGTGTGTGTGTGTATACACACACACACACATATTTATATATAAAATTTATTTTTATATATACTTAATATTTTTCATTTATTACTTTTAGGTAACTTAAATTTTTGTATACATATTACTTTTTTTATATCATTTTGGGTACCCATTATATTCTTTACTCGGTATGGAGTATTTTTTCACTCAATTCTTTCCAACTTTTTCTCAAACTTTTACCTACAACGTCTTTTTTCTTCTTAAATGACATCCTTATCTCACTTCGAGGCGTCTTTATTTTATTTTTTTTGTTTATTTTTCATTCTTGTTTCTTATATATTGTGAATATCAATTGCACTGAGTCTTTATAATTTTTTTCTTTATGGCACGATGCTTAGATCTAGGAGAAGACATCATATTTTTTCTATAGTAATTTAGATTTGAGTATTGAGAACCTGGCTTTGAAGAAAGACAAACAACATACATCATCCATAATTTGAAGCTGCTGATTTTTTTGAAGGATCAAAGCAGTTTTTTCTTTGTGTATAACGAAGATGCTGTTTTTAATTTTAATAAACAAAGATACTTATTTAAAGGAAAATACTTGAAAAAGGGCACTAAAGGAAAAGAATGAACTGCCGAACATAAACGCTCCTCTTCTTGGCATTTTGAATCTTGGCTGTTCAGACCAAGCTGCTAAACAAAGAAGCCATTATCCAAACACTTAAATTAGCTGTTTGACTATTCAAAACAGCCAAGTATAGTCAAAGAAGCCAATCTTGAGCCGAAATGCCATTTTCCAAACGGAGCCACACTTCTCTAGCGTTATTAGCATTTTCAAAATCAACTTGCACTTTTAAAATTTTATCCAAAATGCTAATCTCAAACGTCTTTTATCTGGCATGAAGTCCCTAGTCCATTCATGAAATGTTTGTAAGAAAATTGGCGATGAATACAAGTGATAACTCAATATTTAATCTATAAATCTATAAGCTAAAAAAGATTTGTCAAACACTGAGTTTTATGGTGAAGTGGAAATTTAAATATTATTCTCAAAGATAATCAAATGTCATTGACAGATACTCCCTAATGAGTAAACTCCCGGTATATGTAACATTTTAATATACCATTCCTGGCAGTGTATGTCAGATGTTTTTTTCCTGGCAGTGTAACCCGGAGTTGCCTACTCCGTTTCCTCTTGCTTTATTTTTAGAGACGGAATAGTTTAATCCGTTTGGGTCCAATTATTTAATGACACGGAGTAGCTGGCGAAATAAAACCAAGACGGAGTAGCCAACTCCGTTTGGCCTAACTTAATCAGAGACGGAGTAGCGTATTCCGTGTCTCTTCAATTTAGATCTATCCCCGTGTCTCCTCTTTTACACAGATCTGAGATTTGTAAAACCAAAAAAACGGGGCTGGGAGTCGGTAATGCCAAACGACGAGGGAGGGACGACGGAAGGTAACGCCGGCGGATGACCCCACCTTGACCGGAGTCAGCTACTCCGTTTTGGTGCTTGAAGGTATTTTAATTTATTTTTTGTTAAATTTGTTCCAAAGATTTTGAATTGTGTCAAAATATTAATTTTATAAATTTGTTATTGTAAAATAAATATTTAGACCTAGATTGTAATAAGTGGTTACTTTATGATTTTTTTGGATTATAATTTGCTTCTTATGTTTTTTATTCATTGAATATATTCCTATGTTGTAATTCTTGAAGCAAATGGATGTACATCCGATACCTATTTTACGAGATGTTTTAGTAATTGAAGCGGGAGACCACAGGTGTGATGCGGTTTGGGCCAGTGAAGAATATGCTAAACATCTATTAAAGTGTCACAGGACTTCTACTAGTTTGTATGCGAGGACACTTATTATTGATAGACCTGTTCGTGTGATTGAGTTTTTACGAGAATACGGATTTTATGGGGTTGAGAAAATTGGTGGCTTAGTTATGGCATGTGTTTTGTATCCTTAATTTTATGGATAAATTTTATGTACTCTATCAATAAATTTGTTGTAATTTACTTCTTATTTTTTATTTGGTGTATGGTGCATTATTTAAAGTCAATAAATATTTATTTTATTTATGAATTTTATTGTTAGTAGATTGTTTGTTTCATTATATGTAAATAATTGGTTGACTTTTATAATTTTTTTGTTTTTCAAATATAAGAAATAAAGTAAATAATTCATTTTTAAAAAAAAGTTAAAAAAAAGGGTGAACGGAGTTGGCTACTCCGTTTCCTAATTAAATGATTGGAACGGAGTTGGCTACTCCTTTTTGCTAATTAAATGATTGGTAAATTCTGCAGACGAAACGGAGTCAGCTACTCGGCTTTGCTTTATTTGGAAAAGTATACACTAAAGTTACATATAATGGAACACAAAACAACTAATATACATTTGCAGGGAAATCACCCTAATACTTATTCCATCCAAATGTTTCTTCTCAGCTTGTCTTTCTTGGTCAATTTTTTAAATATCGACTACTCCCTCCGTCTCCCTGTATTTGTCCATTTTCATTTTTACACACCGTCCAATACATTTCTTTAATCCATTTTATCTTGTAATTTGTATATTAAAAAATTATAAAAATTATATATTAATAATCTATATGTTAAGACAAATCAAACAAGATCACACATGATTATATTTAGGCTTACACATTGAGAGAATTTGATAAGTCAAAGTACTTAGATGAACAGTTCCAAAAGTCAAATGTGGACGAATACAGGGGGACGGAGGGAGTATGTATTATAGAAAAAAATTAAGTTATTATAGACGGAATTGGAATTGAAATTGGAGAACTCAATTTCTTCCAAATCAATTCCATAGAATTTCAACTTCCAGTTCAATTCCAATTCCGTCAATTTTGTATCCCGAATGAAACCTAAATTTACAATAAAATGTTTTTTTCTCGTCCGTATAAATAAGTATCTTTCCTTTTGAATTAAAAAAATTGTGATAAAAAAGGACAGAATTTTTTAAGATATTACTCCCTCCGTCCCAAAATATTTGTCACACTTACTTTTTCAGTTGTCGCGGAAACTTTTGTTTATTTCTATATTTTCATTGATTATTTAATAAAATAAAATATTTTTGACACCTCTTATTTTGAAGAACTTTTCATGTAGTTTTTTGATATGTAAATTTTATTTCTTATTTATATACCAATATGTAAATAAATTTAATATTTTAACTCGGTAATAGAAGTGTGACAAATATTTAGGGATAGAGGGAGTAATGAAATACGAAGAATATTTTTTCATAATATATTATTAGAGTTGGTCAAATTTGACCAAAAATCTTAAAGTGAGTAGTTTTTTTGAAAGTGAGAGAGTACATTTGAAGCCTTATTCCGTCAAAATTGTTGGAATAAGCCGATCGATAAAGAAGATAAACATCAAATGCGCAGTCAAATTTTTATAAAAAGCATTTTTCAGTCAAACGGATAAGGACAAGAGAGGGAGCCCTCCCTTTAGCCATTTATTTAGGTTTATTTAGGAGTACATTACACCCTCATAAAATGTTCTTCCCAGTTACTTTTTACACGGTCAAACTTTAATCACCTTTTTTATCTATTTTTATTATGTATTTGATAAAATAATATAGTCTTATCACAACTTGTTTTGTAGAATTTTTGATAAAGTTTTTAAATATATAAATTTTATTTTTTAATTTTATACCTACAATCAAATAAATTGATTGAAAATAAAGTTAGTCAAAACTCGTAAACAGAAACGAGAATAACATTATAGGACGTAAGGAGTATTTATTATTGGGCAAGGCTAGAGTCACAAATAAAACACTAGAAAACTACGGGAGAAAAAATAAAGTAGGATTAAAATATTGAAAATACATAAAAATAAAACTTTAACATTTTTATTCCCGTACTAATTTATTTTTTATGCATTTAAATTTTTATTTTTAATTATTTGGACACATTATTTGACATCATTATTTTATATATTTGTTAAGGTTGTGCATTTTGTAAGTGAGCAATGCTAGGTTCACAAATAGGATGCTCACAAACTTAACAAACTTACTATTTATGATTAAAATTTTCATTTTAAAATTATTTTGGACTATTTAATTTTTTTTAATTGAAATTTACAAATAGTAAGTTTGTGAACATCTTGTTTGTGAACTTAGCATTTCTCTTTGTAAGTATGTTATTTGCAAGTCTAGCATCTCTCTTTATTATTCTGTTCACCAAGGTAATTCAATTCTTTATTTGAATAAGAGTTTCATGTTTTTAATCTCGAAATAAGAATTAAAATGCATTTACATTACCAATCTTGACCATTTACATTACG